TTCTGGAGAGTCGTGGCCAGCGGCAGCGGGCAAGGGTTGGGGTTCGCGGCAGCCGCGATGCTCCATCTTCAGGCGCTGCAGCATAGCGCATGCAGCTGTTACCTGCGCATGACCTCCCTGAAGCTCCAGTGCATGGTCCCTCACTTGCACCACGGCACAGCTCTCGTACTCAATAGCTGCGCGTAGGGCATGCAGTCGCCGCTGCAGCCAAAGAGTCAAACGCTCACGGTGCTTATGCACAGGACTAATCAGTGACACAATGTACTCCTGAGAGAAAGAGAAAAGATGGTGGACTGATCATTTGTCTTGATATTAAGCTATTATTATTCCATTATTATTAATATAATTTACATTCAAGTACTTTTTTGTGTGGGGAGACTTCATGCCATTTTATTTTTATGTAGCTACACATCCAAACCAAGCTGAGAACTCTTTCCATTTTTTTTATACATCGTTGCATAAATGGTGGCATTATTCAAATTTTAAAATACATTAATTTATATATTTTCCCCCCCCAAATTTCACAAAGAAATTACCAATTTAAATGGCCATTTCATCATTACATTCGTTTGTTCAATGGACATGTCTGTGACTGGCTATAATGCTCAACTGCTGCAAAAAAAACAACAACAAAAAACATTTCAAATAGACAATTTTGAGCACTACTGTAGAGCAATCAACATATATAATCCACATAATAATTACTTTCATCAGTCATACTCATAATCTTGATTATTTATTTGCTTATTTACTTTTATTTTGTTTCTTTCATTGACAATAAAGGGTTTAAACACACTATACAGTGATTTTGACTCAAAGGATGTTGGAAAACCTTACTCTTCTCACATGTAATTGGCTGAACAGGACAGTCTGGACCATTAATTTGGTATCTAATTGGTAGCAACAAAGGGAGCAGTAATTACACTACAAGAAGTCTGAAAATGCTCTTGATTTTCTAATAAACTATAAAAGCTTTTCTAATAAACGACAAAAGTGCTGTAGTGCTGCAAAAGACACAGTAAGTTCTAAATTACAGTGTTACAGACAGAGTGGACATTACACAAACACAATTTACCTTCTTACATATACATTCCATTGTTAAATTTTAATGTGGACATCATGAGATTTTCAATTATATCAAGTGCTTTTGGCCAATGTGATCATTTTAATATTTAACAAATAGCATACACTACTGTTAAAACAGTTGGGGTCAGTATTTCATTTCATTTCATTATTATTATTATTTTTTATATACACTGCCATTCAAAAGTTTGGGATCAGTAAGACTTGTAATGTTTTTTAAAGAAGTCTCTTATGCTCATCAAGGCTGCAATTATTTGATCAAAAATACGGAAAAAAAAAAAACAGTAATCTTGCAAAATGTTATTACAATATAAAATAATGGTTTCTATATTAATATCCTTTAAAATCTCATTTATTTCTGTGATGCAAAGCTGAATTTCCATCAGCCATTACACCCAGTCTTCAGTGTCACATGATCCTTCAGAAATCATTCTAATATGCTGATTTATTATTAGAATTATCAATGTTGGCAACAGTTGAGCTGCCAAATATTTTTTTGGAAACTGCGATACTTTTTTCGATGAGCATAAGAAACTCCTGTAAAAAACATTAAAAAATCATTCTGATCCCAAACTTTTGACCGGTAGTGTATTATAGTGTATATTATGTAGTGTATAATATACACTGTAATATAGTGTGTATTATAAAGTGTAATTTATAATGTTACACAGAATTTCTGTTTCAAAGTAGGCTGTTCTTCAAACATTCTGTTCGTTAAAAAAAGTTTGGAGCACCAAATCAATATATTAGAAAGATTTACTAAAAACTATATGACACTGAAGAAGACTGTAGTAATGACAGTAGTAATTTGCCATCTCATAAAAAATATAATTGCAAAAGAAATTTAAATAGAAAACAGTTCAATTCTAATATCGTTTCACAATATTACTATTTTTACTGTATTTTTTATCAAATAAATGCAGCTGTGGTGAACAACAGACTTCATTCATAACAGTTTTTTTATCCTGGCCCAAGAATTTTGAACGGTAATAATAATAAAAGTAACCATAATGATGATGATGTTAACATATAATAATGTTTATTATGCATCTAATATAATAAATTGCAGAATCTCCAAAGGATACAATGAGCTTTTCATAACCTTTTTTAATGCTTTTTCTTGTTACTAACACATGCAAGTTTGCTCTGAGCTTCTCCTGTTTGTATACAGCTAACTCATTATTTTGTCTTTATTTAAGTCAGTTGGTTTACAGAGGTGGGCATATTCTTAGAAGACAATTGGCATGACGCATGTGCCCATATGTCAAAAACTGTCCCAAATTACGTGTTGTGCATCATGGCATATACTTCCATCTATTATATATATATATACTTTTTCACCCTCCCTCTCTCTGTATGTTTATATATGAGGGAAGACACATACAGTTGCCTTGGTCAGGCTGCACCAAGGTGCTGCTGGGAAAACTTACCATTGCATTTTTGAATTCACATGTCAGAACGTTTCGGTATTGTAAACATTTTCAATATGACAAAAAAAAGAGAAGCTTCTTTGGGTGGGGCTATGGTTGAACTTCCTTGAGGGGAAAATCATACTGTTTTAATGAACTTCTTTCAAAGCAAACACAAACTCTGCTCAGCTTCAGAGACCCTCACATTCAGAGACCCTTACATTTTCATCCAAATCTGAACTCATTTCTTTTCCATTTAGCAGATTCCTGCACATCTGCCATAATTCTCTGCAATTCCCCAAAAACTTCTTTAACGCAAGCTTAAACTAGTATTAAATATTGGCAATTCTATCAAGGTTGATATGCAATGTCTAATGTTTGTGTGTGCATAAAGTGAGTGAGAATATGTGAATATCTGCGTGTGCATGTGTGTGCATCTCTGTTTTTTGTGTGTGGGGTGAGAGGGATGTGTGTATGTGTAAGCTGAGAGTGTGTGCGTGTGCATGTGTGTGTAGAGAAAACCGATAGCACCATCCAGCTACGAGAGGCTCCTCTGCACTCATGACACCGGTTGCCTAGCAACGCAGCCCTGTCATCAGCTAACTGCTTTTTAGCAGTCACGACTAACACAACACAGTGTTCTCTGGGAAAGCCTGGAACACACACACATGCAAACACACAGCGCACATATTACATTTACACCGCTCTATACCATGCAGCGCTTCATGTGCAAAGCCGAAATGCACGTATAAAGCAGCACACATGCATGCTTCAATAATAAACACCTACACGCAGAACTGGAGCCCTCCTCACACATGCGATGGTGAGAGAGAGTGTGATATGGGTGTTTGTTTGCACTGAGATGAATAATATCACTTTAAACTGACAGTGTATACAATCTTCCCCCTCTCTCTCTCTTTCTGCAGATGTGGCGTATTGAAGAATTTCCTCCCCAGCGTGAGATAGCTGCTGTTCGGAGTCGTGACGCTGACTCCAGCAGCATGTTCCCCTGGGCACTGAACCGCATCATCTGCACTCACAAGCCACGGGCCCGAGCTGGGAATCATAGCTTCAACAGCAGGTCTCAGATCAGCTGCTTCACGCAGTCAGCGACAGTGGTCCACCACAGCAGACTGAGAAGCTGTTCTGAGATCAGTGAAACAGCCTGCAGTAAACCTGAAAGATGATGGCTTTAATAATCACTATAGCTTGAACAGAGAGATGCATATTACAGCAGGACAGCACAGGAACACAATTTACTTTTACATAGTAGACATAAGTTTTCTGTTAATATCTTAAAGATTCAAATCATTCAACAGTGGAATGTATGAAGCAAACATCCTGAGATTTTCTGTAATAACACAGGCTTGTGATAAATATGATTTTATTCATATTTAACGATAATAATAATAATAATAATAATATACAATGTTAATATTTTTTGCATTATAAATAATTTATTGTTATTATCAATAATAATAATAATAATAATAATATGAAATATATTATAAGAATGCTTTTTAACCTCCTTATGATACAAATATTATTATTATTATTATTATTATTATTAATGATTATCATTATCATAAAGAGGTTAAAAAGCATTTATATGATACAAATCAAATATATTACTAATATATTTTTAAATATAAATATTTCCTACTAATAACAATATTATTATTATTTATATAATAAAAATAAAATAAAATAATGATTTTCATTATCAAAGATGCTAAAATATATACTTTATTGAATTAATGATTTTTAACAGCTTTAAAATGATAACAATATCGTTATTAGCAACTGGCAAAATAATACTATTATTTTTATTATTATCATAAAGATGTTAAAAAGCATTTGTATGATAAAAATAACATATTACTAATATATTTAAATGTAAATATAAATACGATTTATAATAAAGTACTAATAATTATTATTAACAACAATAATAATTATTATTATTATATAATATGTTTTATTATATGAATGCTTAATATATTTATGACAATAATACTAATAACGTACTAATAATAAATAGCATTTATATAATAAAATGTTAAAATATATTACTAATATATTTAAATATAAATATTATATTATAATATTATGATTTATATTATAACACAATAATAATAATAATAATAATAATTAAAATATACTTTATTATATGAACATCTTTAACGTTTTGTATGCATCAAATTATGCAAATCAGCTGCATCACACAGTCAATGCAAGCAGTCCACCACAGCAGACTGAGAAACTGTTCTGAGATCAGTGAAACATCCCACAGAAAACCTGAACAATTATGGTATAAGCGGCCAAAATATGTGACAAATGAGGACTAGGTAACTGAAGAGCTGATCTGAAATCAATTTGAAATGATGACGTAAACCAGTAAATACTCATGCCATGTTAAAAAAAAAAAGAGGAAAATCTAAGGTCAGCTGCTCGTTCACACGCCCATGTTCATTAGGACGTGTTTGACGTAAATTTACGCTTTCTCTGAAAATTAGCCGGCCAGCTTTGGAACTGATCGAGAAACTGCTGCCGAGTGGGTGGGAGAGGTCTGTGTGCATGGTGCACATGAAAACGCAAGGAAGAAAGGAGGAGAACGCTGAAATATTCCTCCTTGGGTGAAAAGGTATGAGCCCACTCCTCTGTAAGAAAGAGTAAGAGAGCAGAGTTTGGATCAGCTTTTTGCAAAGGTAGACGTCACATTAAACATGAAAGAGCAGAGTGAACAAATACAGGAAGTCTCCGTACTCTGTCACGCCAAACACTTCACTGACTGCAGAGAGAAACTGCAGCATAGTGAGCCAGAATGGCCATCTTATGGACAAACAAGTGGCCCGTCATGTGGGGGCAGCTTTTAGTGAGCCACACAGGTCATATCTCATGTCCTAAAAATCACACAATACTCCGTGACTCAAACAGCCGGCAACAAAACAGCAGACGCACTACAAACAAGCCGAACAACAGAATGCATCCTCCTCTTAAATGTCTCCCCCCTTCTTCTTTTCTTCCCTCGCTCTTCCCCTTTCATTTCTGCCTTGTTTTCCTTCTCTTTTTCCCTTCTCTGCTCCTCACCTCCTCCACAACACAGGCTTACAATCAGCAAGGCCACCATGCACTCGAGCACACACACAGATTTATGCTGGTTTGTCTCATAGCAACAAGTGGAGTCTATTTGCTGGAGCTCATGGCTAGATGAAGCCCATTTAAAGCCCACGGTGCAGCTCTGAGCTCAGGCACTCAGTCTGAAGACACAGTGGGTGGCAGCGTCTTATGGTGCAGTTATGCCAAGAGTCAGCAGGAGGTGAAAGCATGCACTTGCAAAGAGATGCACAGACTTACCTGAAGTTGCACAATTTAAGATACTTTTAATGCTTTAGGTTCATGCAAAACGCAAACACAAACAAATGCAGCAGCAACAACAGGCCGGTGCTATAACACTGGCATATATGCAGGATGCGAAATAAATGTGTGTGTGTGTGGGTGGGTGTTCGCACCCTTCAACTGCCTTGACTTTGTTTGGCCCAAGCAAGGACACTTCATTTCTCATGACCAGCATCTTGCAAGTGCAATGCCTCATGTCTTCAGTGCATAAAGAATAGAAAGAAAAAAAAGTTTAATATTGAAGATAATCTGCCTAAAAATAGGAAAATACAGTTTTCAAGGATAAATGTGTGTATGCAAATCTGGCTAGACTTGTGAGGGTCAAATGTTCGAAAATACCCTATAATGACAATTGTCAAAGACTTGCTTGTTGACATTTGAAGCGCCTTGCACTATATGAACGAGCCATACATCATATCTTGCTACAGCTCTAACAATATCAACAGGGTTGTGTAAAGGTCTGGTTTAAAGACAAAGTAATACATTTAAGTATCTTAAAATAAAACAAAAATTACAAAAAAAAAAACTATTGTCTACACGATAGGTCCTTGTTATTAGGCTGTCTCTTCAAAAGTCAACGAGTGTATGTCAAACTGCACTCAGTAAATCTCTGTGAAACGTGAGTCGTGAGCATCAGTTCTGCCCGTGATTTAAAGATCATTTCGCCTCACCAGAAACATTTACATGGGATGTATTTTACATAATCATAGAGGCTATAAACAAAGTCTCTGATTTGGCCCATGAAAGTAAAAACAGACCCGAAAATGTAATGAAATAAAGAGCTTGAATGGCGATGTCGTGCTCGCGCAGCTCTCCTGCGACACACGCGCTCTCTCACACTCATACTCACTTTAGCTTTAGTGCAATCTTCTTCCTTGCCGTCCTCGATGTTTACGATGATACTGGAGCCGGCGTTGAGGCTTTCGCAGCTGGACTCAGAGGTGCTGCAGCTCACTCTGACACGGAAAACCCGCTGGATGTGCGGGATGCAGCGCTGGAGCGCAGGGCCTGCACTGGCGGGCGCGGCGAGCTCCAAAACCATTTATCAGACGGATAAATAAGCGATCACGACGCGCTCCGGAACACTGGCACGCATTCGTCCTGCTTCATGGGTAGGGCAGCAGGGGAAAGACAGAAAGTCACGGGAGGATGCAAGTTTGTCTGCGGCCGAGCATAACGGCAAACGTACGGGACGCGCTACATGAGCATCTATCATCCATCTCCATCCCTCCTTCTCCTCTCGCCCTCCCTTTCTCACTTCCCTCCCTCCTTCCCTACAGCGGCCCCGACTGCACCCACCGCCTGCGCTTCGGCAACACGTCGGACGCCCCCTGTCGCTCCGCTCGGACGGGCAGAGCCGCAGAAAGTGCGTTTTTGCTGCCTCCGTCTCAGCATTTTGAAGCACGTGGTTGGATGGGACTCCGGTAATGCAGCAACCGAGGGTTAAAAATACCCCGGACGCGCTGAATGCGCTGTCCGATACGACCGCCAGACTCTAATTGTCCAGAAGGCTGATACAGTATTCAGCAGTTGTTATTATTTTGGAATCCTTTACAATCAAGTATCAGCCTATGAACAATGCCGGTAGAGTCGCCACGACTGGTCCAACTGTTAGTTTAACTATAAATCTCGGTAGCTATGTGGTAACGTTGCTAGTTTTTGGATCATGTCGCTTTTCAGTAGCGAAGGTCTGTTTAGCGATGCATTTCCCTGACAATAATTGAGCTTTAAAGCCTCGTGCCTTGTATTTTCTGTTGTCTGTCTGTTTTGAATCAGAAGTGGTGATGCCCGATTCGCGAATGAATCATTCTTTTGAGTCGATTCTTTTCGATTAACTTCTCAAACGCGCTTCGCGATTCGGTCTGAATCGTTTAGTTCATCTCAGACTGAATCATTTGGTTTCTCGGAAACAATTACTGGATAATGAAGTGGATAAATTACAGAGAGGAAGTGGATATTTATCTACGAGCAATCGAAACCAAAATTGCAAATGGAGAATACAAAGACATCTAATAACATCAAGCACTCAAAGCATTCATAAATATCCACTGTTTTTGTACCGTGGAGTACCATGTAAATACCAGTGTACATAAATATGGAACTCGTTATCGTATGTACATTGATATGCTTGAACAAGTGAAACGCTGTCATGCGAATAAGTTCAGACACCAACTGACGATATAGTTGTTTTCTGTTTTACTGGATATGTTTTTTCTTTGTTTTCTAATAAACATGTACTAAACTAAATTACAAGCGACTGTTTAATATTTAATACTTTTGAAAATATGAAGTTGCTGAAAAATAAGTTACCTTTGCCATGCACTTTTACCTCTACCAACTGTCACTAAACGTAGGTGGTATTTTAGATGGCTACATTTTTAATGGCTTGCCCAATATTTCCTATAAGAACATATAATAAGAAAATCATTAACGGCCGACAAACGTTTGTTAACACTCTCCCTTTAAACCTCGTCGAGGATTGTAGGAAATGTAGTCAGCGCCGTGTTGCTGTTGTCCACAGCTGGTTAGCATTTCTATTGTCTTTCTTGTGAGACGTGTATCCGCTACAACCTTTACCTCCTTTCTTATTCCCACAGAAGTCTCACAGTTTCACAGTCCACCATGGCGGACGAACAAGAGATAATGTGCAAGCTAGAAAACATCAAAGAAATAAGGTAAGAAAAGCTGAGATTGATCCCAAAGCAGACACGCTAGCCTGTGTTCAACATCTGGCCAATACAGCCTAGATTTTAAAAAACGGCGTATTTCCCCTTAATCATTTAATTTCATAAGCAATGCATGGATTAGCATGTATAGGCTACCTGAAAAAATAGTATGTAAAATTCCCTTTGACAGTCTCTTTGTATCTATCGGTCATGATGCTAAAGCAAAGGGCTGAAACCGTAAAAACACGCAGCTTTGCACTAAATTTGAAAACATACCACACTAGTTTTGCATTAACAAAGTCTCTGATCGCACCGTTATTTTGGCGAAGATGAGTGCGATAAGCATCCTGTTGTGGTTAGACACGAAACTGTAGAGCAAACGGTTCATTTCCTGCGGAACAGCTCTTAATCATTTATACAAGCCTCAGACATACACATGATTGTCTGGTTTTGTTAAATATTGATGTGCACACACGGGGTCTAAAGCGTTTTGTGATCGGATCACTGAAACCAAACCACATAATAGATGCCTTATTCGTTTAAAACCCACATGCACCATATCAGAAGACTTTGCATTTGCAGTGCATTGGCATATGCTATCATGCATTGGCTGGATGCTTACTGTGTTTTGTGTGGTTTTGCAGGAATAAGACAATTCAGATGGAGAAGATCAAATCTCGACTGAGGAGTGAGTTTGAAGCTCTGGAGTCAGAGGAGAAGCACCTGAGAGAGTACAAACAGGAAATGGAACTTCTGCTGCAGGAGAAAATGGCTCATGTAGAGGAGCTGCGTCTCATACATGCTGATATTAATGTGGTAAATAAAATGTAAAAAAAAATCATTCTACAATATCACACATCAGGTGATAAAAGATTAATTGATTTGCACTGTTTATAATGTTTGTAATGCACTTAATAAAATAAATATATATCCATTGCATTTACTATGACATAATGCACATATTCAAAGGTATGCAACTTATGTAATATATATGCAACTTATTAGAATATACAGTACCGTTCAAAAGTTTGGGGTCGGTGAGATTTTTTTTTTTTTTTTACTTAATCTTTTTATTCAGCAAGGATGCTTTAAATTGATCAGAAACTATAATTGAGTTATTTCTTTTCATCAAAGAATCAAAACATAAAATGCATCATGGTTTCCAGAAAAAATATTAAGCTGCACAACTGTTTTCAACATTGATAACAATAAGAAATGTTTCTTGAGGACCAAATCATCATATTAGAATGATTTCTGAAGCTGAACATTGGAGTAATGGCTGCTGAAAATTCAGCTTTGCCATCACAGAAATAAATCACATTTTAAAATATATTAAAATAGAAAACAGTTATTTTAACTATTATAGTATTTCACAATGCTACCGTTTTTGCTGTATTTTCATGAATACAGAATTACTGTATGATCAAATAACTTCTTTTTAAAAATTCCAAATGGTTGAATGGTAGTTTACATGTTTACATATTTTAGAAGCTTTACAGGCTCAATTTTTTTTCTGTGATGTCCAGGATCTGACCCAGTAACCTTTGTGTTACCAGGTCAGATGTCTAAATATTAGGTTCACACCATTGTGATTTATGGAGTGGCTGTATTTCTTCTCCCAGATGGAAAACACTATCAAACAGTCTGAAAGTGACTTGAACAAACTGCTGGAAACAACCAGACGTCTCCACGATGAATACAAGCCGCTGAAAGAACACGTGGATGCCCTGAGGATGACCCTCGGCTTACAGAGACTCCCCGACCTCAGCCAGGAAGAGGAGAAGCTCTCATTGGAGTTAGTAACACTGTTTCTGAGTGTGTGTGTGTTTGACTGGGGGAACTCCTCAAAATGAGTCATTGCAGTGTAGGAGTCTGTGTTTGCAACAGAGTAATTCTTAAAGCTGAGTCAGAGAATTTGCGAGACAGAGAGTGTGTAATTGTGTATGGGAAGGCTAAATCGCTTACTGTTTGTTTGTGTGCTCTTCCTCTCCTTTCAGCTACTTTGAAAAGCAAAAAGCTGAGTGGCAGACAGAACCCCAGGAGCCTCCTATCCCAGAATCCCTTGCGGCGGCGGCAGCTGCAGCCCAACAGCTTCAAGCTGCACGGAAACAAGACGCCAGGCAGACAGCGACGTTCCGCCAGCAGCCGCCACCTATGAAGGTGCACAGACTTTTACATTACTGCGTTTCTATCTGTGCACACACACTCAAACATCAGCAATCACATGTGGAACTATATATTTAATTTCTTTGACAGTGTCTACACATTACTTTGCTGTGAGCTTGCATTCTGAAATTGAATGTTATGCGGTAGGTGGTCAAGGTACCACAAAATCAAAAAACGCAACTTTCTGTCGAACTGTCTTTGTTGTATTACTGTTCATAAAAAATGACCTGAGTATTTAGAAGGGTTTTTTTTTTTTTTTTCAAAAAGGCAAGTAATACATTTCAATGAATCTAACCAATCCTTCATTGAAATTTACCAGAAGTGAATTAACATCTGATGGAAATATTGAACTACAATCAATGAGCAATGAAATTAACAGTTACCATGCTATTTCTTATAATTAAAATTTGGTTTACCTTTACACTATCGTTCGATCGTTTGGGGTCTGTAAGAATTTTTTTTATGTTTTTGAAAGGAGTCTTCTTCTCACCAAGGCTGCATTTATTTGATAAAAATACAGTAAAATTGTGAAATATTATTACAATTTAAAATAACTAAAAAAAAAATTATTCCTGGAATGGCAAAGCTGAATTTTCAAAAGCCATTGCTGTTCATTGTCACACGATTCTTCAGAAATCATTCTGATATGCTTACTTCGTGCTCAATAAATATTTATTTTATTATCATTGTTAGAAATGGCTGCTTAATATTGTGATACATTACTTCTGGATTCTTTGACAAACTGTATGTATAAAAAAACTGCATTTATTTGAAATAGAAATCTTTTGTAACATTCTAAATGTCTTTACTGTCACTTTTGATCATTTTAATGCATCCTTGCTAAATAAAATATTTATATATATATAAAAAAAAAAATGTAGAGTCTTACCTCAAACTTTTGTACCTAATGTAAAGACATTAGAAACTGCTACATTTCTAAACGCATACAATATGTATTAAGTGAAAGAGATGGTATGTTGATTTAATTTGTTGTCTTTTTTCAGGCTTGTCTCTCCTGCCACCAGCAAATCCATCGGAATGCACCGATCTGTCCTCTCTGCAAAGCCAAAAGTCGCTCACGCAACCCTAAAAAGCCCAAGAGAAAACCAGACGAGTAGCATGCACAGCTCCTAACAACCACAGAAAAAGCTTAACACACACAGCCCCAACAGAAAACAATTTACTCACATAAACACACTCACTTACACTCTCATGCATGCACATGCCACACAGTCACTGCGCATCTATACACACTTAACTGAAGGAAAGGACCATCTGCAGTCTGATAACTTGACCTCTTATAATGATCCTGTAGTTAATCTGTCTTCCTGCTTCAGAGGACATGAGGTCTCAGTTTTTCATTTCATTTTTCTATTAGTGAAACCATTAAGTGATATTGTGTTTGTACTGTGTCTGTATTTAGTCCGTAGTGGAAATGGATGCTGGCTTAGAAATTTTGAGGTGTACTATTCTGTGTGGGGTTTAATTCTAGTGCATTAGTTAAAACTAAATTCTCTAAAGTGGCTTTAGTCAATAGAGCTGTTTGTAAGGTATTCAATTAATGCTTAAACTGATCTTTAAATAATTAATAACGGGATGATTTTGCATATGTCTTTTAATGTTTTTCCTCATGATAACAGTGCGAATTGTTTTTCTTGTATTATGTAACCATGACTGTCCCAGACCATGTCAGTGTTGTAGAATGTCTTGAGGGCCGTTCACACAAGGTTTAGATGGAGAGCATCAGAATTGAACTTCTTTAAAAATGTGGTGCTAATTGCATGAGACGCTGAAAAAGACAGCCGTTGAAACAAGTACTCTGGATACAACGACCAACAATTAAATATTAATGCAGACTAATTGCAAAAACATGTGTGAACAGCCCTTTTAGAAGTAGAATAATTACACAAGTTGAACGAGAATTCTTAAGCTTGAGTTCTAATAGAACTATCATTCAATTTGAGCAAATGAGCTGTTAGTTTGTGTTTTGGAATTTGACTGAAGGGGCATTAAGAATTTTCAGTATTGAATCATTGCGTTCATGTCTCATCTTTTCTGAGAGTCAGTTTTTTAATAATTAAAACCTGTGTACTAATAAACTTGTGTAACTCGTCAAGATGAATTTGTAGAATAATACAATTCCTTTCGGTTGGTTATGTCATCTGATTGATTCGCTTTCTCTCTGTCTGGGACTGGCTGGATATGTATCTGGAATTTGACCTTTCACCCATGACCCCTATTGATGCAATAATCTTTCTTGTTGGCTAATCTCTTTACCAGCATGAGGTTCTACATTCTTTTTGCACTGAACTCTTGATCCTGAGGGGGGCGATATTTACACTCCAGGAAAAGTGTTAAAGGAGACGATGCAAATGATGCTCCGTTGACAGCATTTGTGGCAGGCTGACCATTTCCACAGAAATGTCTACAACACTTAAAGGGTTAGTTCACCCAAAAATGAAAATTAGCCCATAAATTACTCACCCTCAAGTCATCCTAGATGTACATGACTGTCTTCTTTCAGACGAATCCAGTCAGAGTTATATTAAAAATGGTATTTGATCTTTCAAGCTGTTTCATGCCACTCAGCGGGTGTTGCATGCATCCAAACAGCTTGAAAGATCAAAGACAATTTTTTTATATAACTCCGGATTCGTCTGAAATAAGAAAGTCATACACACCTAGGATGACTTGAGGGTGAGTAATTTATGGGCTAATTTTCATTTTTGGGTGAACTAACCCTTTAAGCTGAAATCAAATTTAAAAAAAAATGTAAAAAGTACTTTTATACTGGATGACTTAAAATTTAGTTTTATTTAAATATATGTAAATAAATATGTTTTATGTAATAAAAATATGCAAAATGCAAAAAAATAAACAATATGTAAAATAAAATCATTTTGTTTTTCTTCAATAACTTTTTTTAATCGAAAAACATTCAGAATCTTATAAAACTAAGTTAAATTTATTTAGTTAAATCATTTCTCTCAAATATTACTGAAAGTTAATTTCATTTAATAGAGCAAAAGTTATGTGAATTCAAAAACTGATTATATTAGCAGAACTCAAATGGAATAAGTTAGAGCTGATTTCTAGTTCCCATCATGCTTTGCTGCAGTCTCTATAAGGAGGGTAAATGTTGAAATTAAATGTTATTTTATGTGTTTTTGCATTTATGTTCTGTTATGATGGGATTTAAAAGGGTTTCTGTTACATCTGAGTTTTTGGGTGCTTACCGTTGTGGTAAAATTGAGTAATTGCATTTGTTGATGCAGCCAAGTGTTTTTTTGTTTTTTTTTGCACATTATCGAATGTATACATTATAGCTAGCTGGCTTGACTATATGAGGGTTGAGTTAATGTATCAATATATGACTGGCATAATCAATACACAAAATATTTGAATTGGGTGTATAGTGTAATTGTATATTAGGAAATATACTTTTTATAGTGAACTCAAATAAGTTCACAGTACTCATAAATACTGGTTTCTAAACTTAAATCAATTGAAGCTGTCGGTTTCCTCAATTTAAACGAGTTATCATAACTCACTGGGTTTTACAGTCTATTACATGTTTGAATCAGAGTGAATGTGAAACTAAAACAGTATATATCTCAGGAGCTTTGTGTGTTATACTTTTCTTTTTCAAGCATTTAAAGTTCAAACACTTTGTGATTGTGTGCAGATTGGTTTATTTACAGTTGTGTACCTGAGCAGATTTATTTGTCTGCATGGCTGTATTTATTCATGTGTCTCTAGCTTCACATTACACGTTTTACATCATAACAGGATTTGGGGCTGAAACTCAGTAGGCTCGTCTGCAGCTCGTTAATGAACTCATACGCATCTGCTTAAACTCCAGCTGGGCCATCCAGAGCCTAATCTCACTCACACACCCCTCTTTACCTCCACTAATCCCACTCTCAGGGGCGTGAGGAGATCTGCATCTTTTGTCCTCTCCCCTCCTGCTGTTTCCACACGCAAACGCACAAAACCCGCTAAGCCACACACACAAGCAGCTGTAACGGCTGGAGAGCTTTACAATCACAAAGTACTGTAAAGAAAAACCCAGAGCTCTTTGCAGGACAAAGAGACACTTACTGCTCAAGAAGAAGATCTCTAGAACTTCAGTTTAAGGAAAATATTGCCACTTCATTTCAGTAAATTAAACTAGCTCTATTTAATTAAACCAATGCTGCTTGTGCTTTCCATGAATCCTATACTCTTAAAAACAGGGCAGTATTTCAGATACATGTATTTAAAATATGTATTTGATATACAAAATACAAAAAAGTATTTTGTATTTCAAATACATATTTTAAATACATGTATTTAGCTTTAAAGCCTTTGAAAAAAAATCGAATGTAATTTGCATTTAAGTACATTTTTCCACACAGTATTTTGTATTTGTATTTTAAATACATTTCCATGTATTTGTGCCAATTTCTGTTTAAAAATAAAGGCATTACTGGCATTGATGACTCCACTAACATCTATGAACTTTAACATCTATGGAACCTTTCCATTGCTCTAAAGGTTCTTTACTGTGGACATTATTATTAAAATGTTCTTCACAATGAGAAAGAGTGTTTTTAAGAGCTATTGACTGAAAGGTTCATTTGAGAACCTTTGAGTGTATGATGAGTGTATGATACTAATTTCAAGTAACTTGATCTAGTTTCACAAATGTCTAAACATGTCTTGAAATATTAATATTTTTTGTGTAAGAATGAGAAGTCAGTCAAACAAATTGCCTATGAAAATAACATTTATTCTCTAATCTGTTATAAATAACGTTACAATCAGTGATTGCTGAGTAAACAATCAAGTGTTCATGCAAATACACTCCTATGAGAAGTATTAATACATCATAAAAAGATACCAACCATGACCAACATGACGTCAGCTGTGATTGTGTTTGTGTGAATACAGAAAATGTTAGTGGAAGCCATCCAAGGCAGCAAAAATAAAGTATCCCTGGGACATTCTTATTCCTTGTGTAGTTCCACACAGTTTTATAGTCCATTTGTAGTTTTATAAACATTATCATATGACAGTGGGATAGATGGGCTCTGTGTGCATGGGGGCCTGAGGAAAAGGGGCCATCAGCATGCTGTGTTCTGGGGGGAGACCATAATTCATGTAGGGCTGGTAGAACTGTGGTGCCCCCTGTGGGAGTGGAGGAACATACTGCTGGGACTGAGAGGTTGAGAACGCATTTCCCATCGGGCCGTAGAGGTTCACGCTGAGCTCGGATGGTGGAGGGCGAGTGTTTGTCATAGAGGAGCCTGACATGGAGGTGCGGGACGTAGTGGAGCTGTCCACAGAGGGTCCTCCAGATTCCAACAGGCTGGTCTGAGCAACGGATGGCCCTGTTGGCCGATTGCTTGCTTTGGGTTTCACACACTGGCAGCAGCAGACAGATACAACCGCACCAACCAGAACGAAGGACAGGAACGCGCTCACCACAATCACAAAGGGCAGATAGGTTGGAACTGGGGAGGGAGAGAAATGATACAGAATTAATCACGAGGATTATAAAAATATGCATGTCAGGGGTTGGTGAAAAATGCCACTGAAAGTTACAAAAATGCCCAAATTAAATGAAATTACAACAATTAATTCATTTAAAAATGTTATATTTCAGAAAAATCTAGGCCTATAGTATTTTAATATACTCAGGAGAAAAATAACAAGGTAAAAATGTCCCAAAAAATCAACTCCAGGGAAAAATTCTAAAATGTAATTTTTATTAATAAAATGTACATTTTTTAGATTTTTATTCATACCACGTCATTCAAATAATTATAAAATTCTAAAGGGCAAATTTGCAAATGCATCCAGGTAGCCAGCAGCTGGCCGATGATTAAAATAAAGTACAACAATACTACATTGTAAAATTATTTTTCGAAGTTGTGAAGAAAACAAAGAATATTGGACTACATTTGACAAGAATATGCAATTTCAGTCTTTCTAATAAAATTTCGCGTTTTTTTTCAGTGAGTTACGTTACACTCTAAAAAATGCTGGGTTAAATACAAGCCAGTGCTGGGTAAAATAAGGACAAACCCAGCAATTGGGTTGTTTTGACCCAGCGGTTGGGTTACTACCCAGAAGGTTGGGTTAAACATTTAACCCAACCGCTGGGTCAAAACAGCCCAATTGCTGGGTTTGTCCCTATTTTACCCAGCACTGGCTTGTATTTAACCCAGCATTTTTTAGAGTGTACGTTTCTTTGTAACTAGAACTTTACTAGCAATTTCTGAGTGAAAATTGTTTCTACACCATTTTTCCAGTGTACAAAACGAGAAAATAAAAAGTAAAACAAGATGAATTACACAAATGTATATAAAGACTCACCACTTTCTGTCAACTTTCTCTTGTCATCCGTGTTCTCAGATTCGGAGCCCGTGTCGCAGGTGCTCTGATCGAGACGCGCCTCCGCGTACGTACAGCAGTACCTGAGCGCGCATGTCCCGCAGCAGTAGCGCGCGTCCTCACCGTCAAAGCGCTCCGGACACTGGAATCCGCGGTGCCAAGAGTTGAAGGAGTCCGTCCAGCCGTGACAATATTCCCCCGATAACGCAAAAGACAACGGAAAAACGATTGATGCCAATAGAAAGAGCGCACATGATACAGATGAAGTCATGATTGCGTTGGTTTAAGTCTTTGGGTGGCAGAACTCGTTTCAGATGTGAAGTTGCTTCGAAGATCCCGCAAGCCAGTCGCATCTGATCTGGAGTTACTGTCTGAACGCGTAATTTATGTGTTTGCTGGACCCCCATCCCCCCTCCAAACACACACACATACATTAGCAGACCCTCCTCCCATCAGCCCCTCGTTATCGGACATCTGCATTTAAAGTTAGGCGAGGTTTAGTGATGGGCAGTGTTTATTTGTATGTTGCGCTGCTAATTACTGTATACAAGATATGACAAGAGGTGATGAACTCATTCTAAATGGCATCAGCTCCCTGGGTCACATATCAAAACTTTAACCAGATCAAAATCTCTGTCATTTTTTTAAAATGAGAGTAACTGAGGACTTTACAACAAAACATTTACTGAATGCCATTAGTCCAAATTTTTTCTTAAAAGACAAACCTAAATATTCACAAACAATATATGTGTCAGATACATAACTTAGATATACAAATAGCATGCCTATTCATGTGTGGAGACGGACTGAGCCTTTTGTATGTGTGTGTGTGTGTATTATTATTCTTTAGTTTGGGTTAAACAAATCAATTTTGCTTGGTTGGAACAGCAGCTACGCTAATGCTGTTCAGTTGCTTTGACACAATCTGTATTGTTAAAATATATACTATATAAATAAAGGTGACTTGACTTGACTTGTATGTGGGGTTAAAGGTTACAGACTGTGCTTGTCTGTCTCTGTTTACATTATCTGAGACAGGGAGGTCAATTCACTATCAATGCACATCTAAACACACACTCATTAGTTAGCGAACTGCTTATGCCATGGTTCTCAACTAGACTTGTTTCAGAATCCAGATTCAGAGACATGAAGAAGTGAAGAAACAGTACCAGAAAAGCTTACTGTATGAAAGTAAAATAGCCTAAAAAATCAAACATCGAAGTGTATTGTTTTTGAACTGCAACATTATGCATCATTATTAACGAATAGGAAAGTTTTTTTTTTAATCGTTCTTGAATTTGGATTCTTTTATGGTTTTGGTAGCCATAAAAGAAAACATGTTTATTCTTACTGTAAGTAAACCTTAACTTGATGTAGTCATTTTGCTTCTCCTATGATTTTATGGTTCATTGCATTTTATTATTATTTCCATTTATTTCATTGTTTTTTTTTTCTGCTGTCCACAACCTGTGTTCATACCATGTGTATCACCACTCATGTGAAAACATCAAACTCTAAACCTCCAAAAAGACAATCCTTCAACTATATAGGAACATATTTAATATTTTAGTGCTGTAATTAAAATGGTAAAGAAATATCACAATTCATTACGTTAATCATTACACGTTAATCCCACAGTTTATTTGAATACAAGCAGGTTATTCCATGTAACATCCTTGCACATCCATCTCTTCAGCATTCATTTCCAGCGTTCATATTTTTACCTCCATTCAGATTTTACATCTTTGACTGTATCCCAAAAAACAACATACATCATCGTTCACATAAATCTCTGTTGCAGCCTGATTGTGTCAAGCTATTAACAGAGATTAGTCCTCACACAAAAGATAGTAAATTGCCATTGTCTGAGAACTAACACATTAGCATCAGGTCAACAAAGCCTGTCTCCTGAGGGTGTGACAGGCTCGGCTTATTGAATATGACTGAGTCATTAACTTTAAGGTGCTTACGAATTGCATACATCTCAGAGACTGGGACCAGGAGTAACGTGTGTGTGTGTGTGTGTGTGTGTGTGTGTGTGTGTGTGTGCATGAATGTCCCCATAAAACATGGAAATCCAACGTGTGTGTGTGTGTGTATGACATTCTGCTCACACACACATATATATATATATATATATATATACTGTTTATATATATATATATATATATATATATTT